TTTGTTTTTTTTATCGGTACCAGGGATCAAACTCACGACTGCCTGCTTGCAAGGCAAGCGCTTATGCCGCTGAGCTAAATCCCCAGCCCCTTGCTGTTATTTTTTAGATCTTGTAAGCACGTAAACAGTTGATGTTGGAAATGTTGACATTTATTCTAAACATTACATATTAAAATTTTAACATTTTATTTTATTTTATTGATATTTCATTTTCCTGTTAGGTACACATTGTTTAATAAAACTCATAAAGTTAAAATGAATAATTCATCAATAGAAATACTCCTTTAAGAAAGGTGGGCATTATACATCGTCCATAACTCACCTTTCAAAAAATTTACCATGCCATGCCTAGGTAATTCTGGTGAGGGCTTAGAGAAAGAAAGGGCGAGCTGTAGGGAAAGCTCCCATCTTCTTAGAAGGCCCCTAAGTAACCTGGACCAGAATGGAAATATGGGCTGAAAAGGCCATTCTGATGAGGTCTTAGATGGAAATGAGGGACACGTATCACAGGTTAGATCTAAAATGTTCCTGAAAAGTCTTGTGTTTTCAGAGGTGGGGCTTTTGAAAGGTGAATGGATCACAGGGGTGAATACTCATCGGTGGATTAATCCACTGATGAATTCCTTGCTGAATGTGCTCTTGGAAGGTGAGGCCTGGTAGGAGGACATGGGTCACTGAGGTCATGACCTGGAAGGCTGTGTCCTTGTCCTCAGCTCCTCCCTTCCTTCTCTGCTTCCTGGATGCCATGGGTTGAGCAATTTGCCCTCACTGTGCCCTTCTGCCATACTGTTTCTGCCTAGGAGCCAGCATACCATGGGCTGAACCCTCTGAAACAGCGAGCCAAAATAAACCTATCCTCTTGAAGTTGTAGGTGTCAAGTATTTTGTCCCAGCTTTGGGAAAGTAATACTGTATGTTTCTGGACAATGACATATCCTTGTTTTGAATAGTGGTTAGACTGAAGGTTATAGGATGGACTATAGAGCTATTTGGCTGAGAATTCAAGCCGTTCTTCAAGAAAAGGGAATGGTTACTCTAAAGGTAGTTCAGATGCCGGGCGTGGTTGCTCACACGTGTAATCCCAGCACTCAGGAGGCTGAGGCGGGAGGATAGTTGTGAGTTCAAGACCAGCCTGGGCTACAAAGTGAGCTCAAGGCCAGCCTGAACTGCATAGTGAGACTCTGTCTCAAAAAGACAAATAAAAATAAAGATAGTTCAGAGACCACAAGGGCCACCTGCTTTGCTCCTTGCACGGGGACCATTGCCTTGCTCGCAAGGGGCCAAGCCACTCTGCCCAGGCCAGTAGGATGGGTTTGTCCAGGGCTCTGAGGCACAGCCTGCTGGGTAGAGCTGTAGGCAGGACTGGAGAATGGGATTGTTGTCCTAGTGGGTCCAAAAGAGGGTCCCAGTGAGCCTGATGGGCAGAACACTGAGCCAAGGAGGGTTTTGCTTCTCCTTCCCTTTGTTTTCCTTTCTTTTTTTTCTTTTCTTTTCCACTTTCCTTCCCTTCCTCCCACCCTTTCTTCTCTTGCCCTCTCCCTTTCCCTTCCTGTTTCTCTCTTTCTCTGTCCACTAGGGGTTGAGCCATATGCCCAGTCCTTTTTATTGTTTTGAGTGTCTGAGTTGCCCAGGCTGGCCTGAAACTTGCAATCCTCCTGCCTCAGCTTCTTGAGTAGCTGGGTTTGCAGGTGTGGGCCACCACATCAGACCAAAAAGGATTATTCTTGAGGCTTAAGCTCTCATTGAGTTTGCCTTGTAGCTTGGACCTACCTGGGATCTGATGCCTCTTTTTTTCTTTCCTGTCTCTTGTCCTTTTGAAAGGGGATGTCTGTCCTGGGCCTGGGCCACTATTGTGTTTGGAAGCATATAGCTTGTTTTATTCTATAAATTCTCAGCTGAAGGGAGCTTTGAGTCTTACCCATATCTGATTTAGAGGCTACTTAGATGAGACTTTGGATTTGAGACTGCAGAGAGGGTGCTGGGATGAGTTAAGACTTGAGTTGATGAGAACGTAATGAATGTGTTTTCCACATGAGAAGGATGGCAGGCAGAGGCAGAATGTCGCAGACAGAGGAGAGTTGTGTCTTAAACTTTGTAGATTGAAATCTTCATCCTCAATGTGATGGTGTTAAGAGTGGATCCTTCGGGAAAGGATTAGGTGATGAGAGTAGAGCCCTCCTGAATGGGATTAATGCCATAATGGAAGAGTCCCTGGGGCCTGGGGATGTAGCTCAGTGGTAGGGCACTTGCTCAGCATTTGCAGGGTTCTGGGTTCAATTCCCAGTACTGAAAAAAAAAAAGAAATTGTGCTTGGAGCGTTTCCTTGTCCCTTGCACCACATAAGGACACAACTGTTTGTGAACCAGGAAGCAGTAATTGCCAGACATTGTGCTTCCAGCCTCCAGAACTGTGAGAAATAAATTTCTGTTGTTCAGTAGCCACCCAGCCTAAGGTAGTTTGTTAGAGCAAACCGAGACATGATCAGATCTTGGAAAGACCTGGTGTCTGCCATGGGTTGAGGAAAGGAGGTGGAGGAGATTGCATCCTGGGAGGTTAGCACAGAGCAGGTCCCATAATACAGGTGAGAGACAGTGTGGTGTGGGCAGTGAGGGACCTGAGACGAAGGAGAGGATAAGTGACCAAACCTGATGACGGGCTGGGTGGTAGGGTAGGGACAAAAGGTGGCAGAAGTGGCTTCAGGGTTTTGTGTCTGTAGGAATGAGTGTGTGCTGGTGCCATACATGGAGGCAGGAAACTCTGGAAGAGAATTAAGTCATGGTTTCACACTTGGGCTGGTCCCTGGTGCTTTGGGAGGTCTGAGTGGGGGAGGCCTTTGGACAGACAGGGGTGTGCAGTTCAGAGAAGAGGTGGGTGTTAATTACGTAAACCTGTGAGTTATCTATGTGGGTGGAAATCCAAGTGGAAGAGATTGCTGAGGACCGCACACGGGATGGGCATGAGGTTTTTCCTGGGTGTTGAAGGTGAGCTGGTAAACTTGCTGTGTAGAGCAGCAGGATTGGTAAGAGGAGGATCGGGCAGTGATATCACAGGACTTAAAGGCCTTTGAGGGCACTGTGAAGGGCAGCCATGGTGCTTTGGGAGGTAGATAGCAGGACCTGATTTAGCTGACTTAATAAAGACACTCATATCAGCAACCATGAAGTTTCAGGGTGAGTCTTTCACTGGCTCCTGGTGTCATCAAGGGCACAAACTTTCTGTGGCCCTGTTTTGCCATTCACAGTGTGGGCTGGATGCTAAAACTGGCCCCTTTTATGGCCACAGGATGACATGGTTCTCTGTTCATGACTAGGGAAGAGAGCCTAGTCTACTCTCTATGGGATAGAGGAAATAGCAAAGCTGTCTATAAGCTTCCAGAATCCTCTCCTTAAGTCTCTTTTGGTGGGGGTGGTTCTGAACTGGGGGCAGGGCTTGGGGCTGTTACACCCAGACCAGACCACCCCTTCAGTTGGTGCTCAGATTCCATGGCTGCTCATCATGGAGGGTGGTACGGACACTGGGTGCCTATAGCTGAGTTGATGTAGCTGATGGCCCTAGCATCCACCTTGCCTCCTGGAGGGTGCCTTCTGTACTGCGTGGTTGGAGAGTTACAGCTGCGTTTTTCTCAGGCTTTCTTGCAGCACTAGCACTGACAGTGAATTCAGTTCTGCCAGTCAGCTATGCCTCTGTAGGATCTGGATGGCAGAAGTGGCAGGTGCCATCTTTCTATTGCTTTTGAGTCCTGCTACTGTCAAGACAGGTACCAGCTTCTCTACAGCAGCGCTCCAATCCTGAACCACCTCTTATCTGTTCCCTGCACCTGACATGGGTATAATGGAGGCCCGAGGCAGTCAGGACCATATGTAGCCCTAGGGGCTGTGTGTGGAATGTTAAGGAATGCCACAAGTGCCTCTGCCCCAGGACTCCATTGGAGACTTGGGGGTAGGAGTGCTCCCAACTGTGGTCTTTGTTGGAAACACGTAGAACACTGCTCAGGATGCAGCCACCTGCCCAGCGGCATGTGAAGAGAAAAGCAGGTGGCATTATGAAGAGGGGCTAAAAGCTGAGGGCACTGTCTATCAAGAGAGGAAACCCACAAGAAGGCACCAGAGGTGGTAGGGTCACATCCTGCAGAACTCCCTAACCTGCTTTGCATTTACCCCTGAAAACATGCACAAGAAGCCCCACTTCTTGATGAATCTGTGTTAGGGTTAGGGGTTAGCGGCCAGGGCTTTTGGTCCCCAGTAAAGTGTTAAGTACTGCAAGGATGGATCTGTAGTTTGCAAGGTCACCAAAGCATCTGGTAGGAGGGTAGACTGGGTGGCAGACGCCTTCCTGAACACTTCTGGTGACGGAGTGCACAAGCTTGAGAGGCAGCCTGCTGAGTGAGCCCAAGCTAGCCTTCAGCAAGCTTGTGTTTGCTTCATGCATGAGAAGCAAAAGATGGCCAGAACGTGGGCAGAGCAGGGGGAATGAAGTGGGCAGGATGTAGGATTGATGACTTGTCAGTGGACAAATGTGGCTCACTGTTGCATTTGCTTGGCAGGTGTGGTTAATTTAAATTGCAGCGTTTTTTGTTTTTGACAGTCTTTGCTATATCGTTCAGGTTGGCCTTGAATTCATTATGTAGCCTCGGCTGGTCTTAAATTCACAGTGATCGTCCTGCCTCAGCCTTCTGAGTGCTGGGATTACAGGCATGCACCACCACACTTGGCCTGAATTGTGGTTCTTTCTAAGAAAAGACACACTTCCCAATTAATCACAGGCTCCACCATTCCCTAATGTCTTAAAGGACTTGACTTATTCACCTCTGTTATTAATCTGGCTCTTGACCCCTCACCTGAGGAATATCTAGGATTTAGGACACCTGGATGCCTAGGGCCTCAAGTGACAGCTACAGGCTGGTGAGGAGACAGAGGGAAAGGGAGTGGAAACATAGCTGTTTCTCAGAACCCTCCCCTTCTGCACACTCCCATCCCCATTCACCAGGTCTAGAGGCACTGCTGAGTGGCCAAAGTCCCTTTAATATCCCTGAATTGCGTTACAAGTCATACTGCTGAAGGTGAGAAAGGGATGGGGACGGGGTGGGCTGGGGGAAGAGGAGGCAGGGGAGCGCCAAGCGCTCATACAAAATATGGCCAAAAGGCTTAGCATGCATGGAAAATTATTGCTGTCAGAAGTTCCTATTTACAGGGCCGACACCCTCCATAATTGCTTCCACGACCCCTCTCTCCCACCATCCCTGCAGCCTCCCTTTGTGGTGGGCCCAGAGCTGGACCAAGCTCTGCACACCCCTCTGAACTCCTAAAGGACCCCTGCTACAGGGATTCCTCCACCTCCAACCGCTCCGGCGGCTGGGGGAGGGGAAGCTGGTCGGAGAGACCAGGACTCTGCCCGCCACCGCAGGGAGGGCGCCCAGCGCTGGGGGCAGAGGCGTGTGCTTAAAGCAGAGGGACCAGGGCCCCTGCGCGTGGAGGTGTGTGCTTCGGTCCTCACCCGGGCATGCGAAAAGCGCGGCGGAGGAGGTAGTGGCGGCCAACGGGCGGGTGACTGGCAGCTCCCGCCCCTCTGTCCGGGAGAGTTGCATAGACTTGGCCGGGAGAGAGCGCTCCTCCCGGGAGCGGGTCTGAGGCCCCAGCGGGGTCCGGGGCTCAGTCGGTCCCCGGAACCTGGGGTGCCTCGGGAAGGGGAAGAAATAAATAAATGCGGAGGCTCCTGTCTCCAGACTCCCTGGAGCAGGACCAGAGGGCTCAGGAGGGTGGGGACCTGCCCCACTGTAGAACCTCCTGGCGGCCCCTCCCTGTCCGTTCTCAGAGCCCCTGCTGCACCCAGCGCTGACGAGGGCGGGGCTTCTCCCAAGACCAAGAAAGTGGAGAGGAGGCAGCTTACTATGGCCATTGCTGCCCCTCTCCTTGCCTGGCTCCCTGACCTCCCAGTCCAGCTGGGGAACCAGACTGTCCCTGGGTGAGATTAAACAGAACAATAAATAAATAAATAAATAAATACACAAATAAATAATTGGGGCCTGGCTGGATAACGGGACAGGCCTTGGTCTGGTGCTCCAGGCCTCCCCCAGCAAATAAGGAGGGGTACCTGTAGTCCTGGGAACGGGGAAAAGTGCTCAGAGAATTGGGTGAGGGAGGGCAGCGTCAGGCTGGGAGTCCAGGGAAGGGTTGTCTTGGAGTGAGGGCTTTATGGTAGGGGTCTGGGTCCTGAACTACCCCTCAGATCTGCTCTAGGTCAGGTAAACGCAGAGAGGTGCTAGAGCGCTGAGGGGGCCTGGAGCAGCAGGGAGTGGGAATGGGCAATGAGGTCCTCAAAGCTAAGTGGGTGAGAACTGGTGTGTGTGTGTGTGTGTGTGTGCAGTTGGACCTAAGGCCTGAGCATGGAGGGCACGGGGCAGACTGGGGATGCTAAGAACAGAGATTCAGCAGAGTGGCCTGAGGGAAGGCTTGGGATTGGCAGTCCTGCAGGGACTACGTCCAGGTGAACAGGGAAACCGAGGCAGTCATAGACTTTGAGGGTTAGTTTGGATCTCAGACTGGTAATTGGTTGAGGAATGGTCAGAGGTTCCGCTGAGAAGTGAGAAGAAAGGTCTGAAGGTTAGGAGGGCGGTGCAGGGTCTAGGCACGCTCTGGTGCCCGAGAGGGAAAGGTGCGGTGCGGACCTGGTGCCTGAGTTGGGGTGGGTAAAGGTCCGAGTGGTAGCTGGGAAGGACATGAGTGGGGTGTGCGGTGGGGAAGGGGGTATGAGGGGGCAGGAAGACAGTACTGGAAGTTACGGGCTGGAGAATAACGTTGAGGACCAGGACAGGGAGACCCCGTAGGCGTGGGCAGAGAAACGCAGCTGGGGGCTGGAGAGGGCGCTGCAGGCGCAGGAGGCAGTGGTGAGGGGCTCAGCTGGCCGGGCCGGCGTGGGGCGGCGGGGGCGGCTCGGCGCCCTTGACGCAGGCGGCCTCGCAGTGCTTGTGGAGGTAGGACTTGAGCGCGAAGGTCTTGTCGCACTGGCGGCAGCGGTAGTGCTTGAAGGCCGAGTGCGTCTGCATATGCGCGCGCAGGTTGGAGCGATCGGCGAAAGCCTTGCCGCAGTGCGCGCAGCCGAAGGGCTTCTCGCCCGTGTGCGAGCGCATGTGGCCCTGCAGCAGCCAGGGTCGCGAGAAGGCTTTGCCGCACACGCCGCACTTGTGGCGCAGGTTGTGCGTGAGCACGTGCATGGCGAGCGCGGGCATGGACACATAGGCCTTGCCGCACGTCGGGCACTTGCGCGCCAGCTGGCTGTCCAGGCTGCGGTGCGTCTGCTTGTGGCGGCTCAGGTTCGACGACGTGGCGTACGTCTTGCCGCACTCGGCGCACGCATGCCGGTGCCCGCTGCCCGCGGGCGCCCCCGCGCGCCCCGCCCGCTCCCCGGCGCCCCCCGCGTCCCCCGCGCCAGCCGCGTCCCCGCCGGCCCCGCCCCGCCGCCGCCGCGAGCGCCCGTCAGAGATGAAAAAGGCGTCCATGGAGTAGCTGTCGGTCACCGCCGCCTCCCCGCGGAAGTAGCGCGCCGACAGGCTGGACTGTGGGCTCTCGGGGTCACTGTACTCCTCCGACGCCGCCGGCGGGTACACGGGCTCTGCAGGCGCCAGTTCCAGGCCGGGCTTCTGGTCGGCATCGTAGCTGCTCGGAGGCAGGCAGTGCGGGACATAACCTGCAGGGGTGAGAAGGGCTGGTGTTGAGGGAGCGCCCCCACATCGTGTTCTCCTGGGGTCTTGGAAAATGGTGGCATGTAGGACAGTGGGCGCCGGCTCACCTCAGCTCTTGGGTCAGGCTGCCAAGACCAGTTGATCCTTCCTAAATGAGTCACGATACAAATAACCATGAAGCACAGGATTGGTACTGTTGGTGTTTTTTGTTTTTGCTTTTTTTGAGACAGCGTCCCATTAAGTGTTTCAAGCCTGTTTTGAACTTTTGTGTAGTTCAGGCTGGACTGGACCTTGTTGTGGTCCTGCAGAAGTCTCTAGAGTGCTGCGTTACAGGCCTGAGCCACCATACCATTCTGCTGGCTTTATGCTCACTATCTTAAATGCTCATAACCACACTGAGAAGTTATTATTACTGTACCTATTGTGCAGGTGGGGAAAGTGAGGCATAGACGAAATCAGTCAAGTAGTGAGTGGATGACCTAAGAGTCAAGTCTTGGTGGTTTGACGCTGAAGCCCATCCTCTATTTTTTTCCCCCAAGAATATTCTGCTTTTCCAGTCCTGTAACTTCTATGGATCTCAGTTTTCTTATCTATGAAATAGAGCTTGTGGTTAGGTGTGGTAGCAAGCACCTGCAGTCCTGGCTACTCCAGAAGCGGGATAATTTGGGTCAGGAATTCAAGACCAACCTCGGTAACATGGTGAGACTCTGGCAGCATTCCCCAAAAAACAACACAAACAAACAAAAAGTTAAATGTGGAGGTCAGACACACCCTTCTAGGGTCATTGGAAGGCTCGAGCAGAATGATGGTAATAAGCACATGAGGAATTATGCTCTCTCCATGTATGCCAGGCTCTGCATCAGTGCTTCACACTTTAACTCATTTAATCATCACAGGAAGCAGGTACTGTTATAGTCCCCATTTTACACGTTAGGAAATTGAGAGAGTGAACAATAATTGCTATATAAATGTTAGCTATTATAATTATGCCTTTTACTTGCTTGAAAAAGTGACTTCACTGACGATGATTAGATTGTCTGCCTCCTCCTGCACTTTGAGCTCCCCAGGGCTGGCTCTGTGTGCCCAGCCTGGGCCTGGTTTCCGGGAGGTCTGCAATGAGTATGTGTTACACAAATGAATCCAAATCACAGTTCAGTGAGACCCACCCCTAGGTTTGCTACAAGACTTTAGAGGAGGTCAAATGAGTGGAGTGCAGTAGCACCTAGGCCTCCTCCCGGGCCCCTGTCCTGCTGGCTGGAGTTGGAGGAGAAATCTGTCATGGTATGAGTGCATGGTACATGAGCAGCCTGGGGCTCCCCCAAGGGATTCCATAGGGGCTCATGGAGGACAGGGGCCACCTGGATTTGTCTCTGCCTGCTGTGTCCTTGTCTGGTCCTAGCACTTTTCCTGGGAATGTTGGGGGCTGGGCTCCCAGGAGAGTTTGTGGAAGAACTTGAGCAAACTTATCATCCTGGCACTTAATTACCAAGTGTTTCCATTGTCTGATTGTGGAGAACAATAGAATTGAGGCCCCTTTCTTGGAGGGCACAGCTGAGGACTAGCAAACCCTGTTTGACCTCCACCTGATCCCTGAGGCCTGTAGACTCCTGCCCCCAAGAAGTGAGCAGGTGAAGGAGGACTCTGTAAGTTAGAAGCAGGATTCCCTGACATTCAGGCTTAGGCTGAGTGCTCTGGTCAGCTTTGGTCTCGCCAGCACCTGGCTGACTCAGTCTCTGGGCCTGTGCCTCTCATCTGCATTTGGGAAGGTCACTGTCTCTGGCACTGAAGGTGAGGGTATATATACCCTTTTACTTTCTCTGTTCTTCAGCTGTCAGCACAGTGGGAACTGTGGGGATGGGTGATTCAGTAGCATGGGCCTCTGTGGCCAGAGGCAAGGGAGGTCACTAGTAGTAGCAGTTTGCTAACTTGAGGTGGAGGGCATGCCCAGCCTCTTAGCACCCCAGCTCCCCTCAATCTGCCTTTGATTTGGAGGTCCCCCACCTCCCATGAGAGGACCAGCCTGATGCTCATGTTCCAAAAGCTTCATGCAGTGTCACTTTGGACTGAGTTGAATACTGAGTGGGCTCTCCTGAGCCCCTCTCCCATAGTAATTAGTGATGATAATGATAATAGCTACATTTGTTAAGCACTTACTATGTGCCAGGCTCAGCTAAGCATTTCACTTCCATCTTTCTGTGTCACCACAAAACCTCATTTTACAATCAGGAAACTGAGGTACAGAGTAGTGTGGGGACTCATTCAAAGGATACAGCAGGGATTAGAGCCCACTGCCTGTCTCCCCTTGTTCACTATTCCTGGGAGGTCTCTGAGGAAGGAGCTGTGGCTGGCCACCTCCCTTCTGCAGGACCCCAGCCAGTGGGCACTCAGTAAGTCCTGTGGAATGATAGAGATTTTCAGGGTAGCCCTGGAGGACCCGTGACAGTGGTCCTGTCAAAACCAGTCCTCAGGATGGTCTGCACCTCACATGGCCTGGGCTGTGGAAAGCAGAGGATGATTTGGTTCCCTGACACAGATTCTACCTTGGTGGCCTTGAACAAATCATCCATCTTTCTATGCCTTGCATCCTTTTTCTGGAAATGAAGCTAGTATGGGATCCACTTGGAGGAAGTAAACAATCATGTGACCAGGTATCTGCATATTCTGTCATTAAAGAAAATGTTAGATTGGTTTAAAATGCTTCCATTGGTGCCAGACTACCTGGGTTGAGTTCCAACTTTGCCATTCCTAACTGTGGAACTGAGAACAACTCTCTGACTTGTCTGTGCCTCTAGAGTATTAGTACGGAGCCCCCAGGGAACAAACAATAAGCAACTAGTAACCTTTCAGGGTCCCAATTTTTCAGGCATCATTGAAACAGCTTTGCACACATGGACACATTCCACCCTCAGGACTATACCAATTTACAGATGAGCTCACCAAATCCAAGGAAGTTAAGTAACTTAACCTGAGGTGGGCAATGTTAAGTCAGAGCCAGGATTCCAGCCCACACCTTGCACCTTGTAAATCTGCAGTACGAGTTGGCTGACAGGAGTAATAGTAACAGTCTCCTCGGGAGGATTTCATCAGGCAGCAGTTCTTTGCAGGCCACCCTGATACTGTTTGCTGCTTCTCTCTGGGCTGTTTCCTCACCCAGGTGTGCACTTCCTTGTTCATCCAACAGGAAAACTCCATGCAGAGCAGTAGCTCTAAAAACCAAGCAGCTCTTGCCCAAATGCATGATCTGCTGGTGGCGCCCTTTGCTGGTGGCCAGCAGTCCTGCAGCACCTTACTCCCGATGCTGGTGGCTCTTTCTATAGCAGTAGGGGTGCCCTGCTCATTCGCCTAGGGATACTTGAAGAATTGCTTTCAGGGCAGGCACTGTGGGCCTGCTGATGCCTAGTGGCTGTGGACTTCCAGATGGATGGGAAGCATTGAATAAAAGTTTGTATGGCCATGTCAGAAGAAAGTGGCTCTAATTTGCTTTGTGATTGTGGCTAATTTGCTTGATGTCTTTGGATTCTATGTGTACAGGAATAAGGCTGACTGGGATGCCATGAAGAGTTTTTCTGCATCATGGCTGAGTCAGTCCCTCCATGATCCCCACCCCCACTCTACTCGGTTCTTGTCAGATCCACAGACTTCTCCATGTGACCTTGGGCAGGTTACTTGACCTCTGCTTGGCACATCTGGATAAAGGAGTTCATAACAGGAGTGTGTGACCTGATGAATGTGAAGTGCTCTGTGCTGCCCCAGGCACGTATTTACCCTCATGATTTTTATTGGCATTGTTACTATTCCTGTACTTTCTAGTGATATGCTTCTAATCTACCAGAGAGTAGGGGATATGACAGATATCTTATCTTGCTGTGACCTTGACAAACATCTCACCTTGACATCTCACCGCCCTGAATCTTGACTCTGGAAATTCCTTTGGGACACTATAAACCATGCTGTCACACTGTGCATGGAACCCAGATAGACTCTGAGTAGCTGACACATTGAGACAAGTCTCTTTTGTTTGGGTCCCCATAAAGACATGGGGAGCTGCAACCCAGAGAGAAGAGGCCTAGCAGGCCCTAGCTGTGTGACCCAGGCAAGTCCTACTGCCACATGGGGCTGAAATACACCATTTGAGGTGGCAGTGTACACATGTCACTTGAGAATGACTGACTTTCCCTGCCCAAGAGCTGAGCCTTGACAGATGGTTCAGAATCAAGTTTTTAAAAATTCTGGTACCAAGGGAATAGTGGAAAATGACAAGAGAAATTTAGGTTCTGGGTTCTCTGCAGACTCTCTATCCCCAGCTGCCTGACCCCTGGGGCAAGTGGGTGGGTCCTGTAACAAGCCCTACCATGACTACCAGCCTTCCACCCACACAGACCTTTCTGGGAGCCAGGGACACACTGTTTCCAAAGTCCAGAGAGGGAGAGGACTTTCCCATGGCTGTAGGAGGGGACTCTGATTTGAACCTGTCCAAGCCTGTGTCTAACCCCAAACTCGAGAGGGCATGGAGGCCTGTGGAGGTTGTGAAGGGCCTCACCCGGTAGGGAGCTGTGTGGGTTCCTTAAACACCACCATGTCCTTGGCCTGTGTCTTACGGGGTTGGGAATGTTGGGTAGGGAAAGCTGTTGTTCTACAAAATTCTTCAGCATACTTTACATTTTTGTAGATAATATCAACAGTAATGACTTACTGTGTTCCAGCTAAGTGCTGGATAGCAGAACTCAAGTCTCGGGTCATGTCCTTTCATACTCTTCTGCAGAAGCTAAGGTCCAGAGAGGGGTGCTGACCCCCAGCTCAGGTTACAGAACAAGGTCTTGTTGGAGCCACAGCGGTCTCCTTTTCTTAATGGAACTAGTCCACAGCTCCTTTCCCCAGTGTCTCCCAGACTCTCTGGGTTCTAAGCTGCCTCCAGGGAATTTCAGTCTCACCTCCTTGTCCTAAAATAGGCAGGAAAGGAGAAGAGACCATTGGGGACCAGTCCCCTGGGCAGCTGTTTCTTGAG